TCGTTGGTGACGGTTCAGTAAAAAATTTACAAAAAGAGCAGCAGAAGCAGAACAAGAACAAGAACAAGAAGAATACAGTCGGAAAGAACTTTACCGCTGACTTGAATCGAGTTTACTGTGCCTCTGCCTCTCATAAATTTTTTTTACGGTTTTACAGCAGTTGTTGCTCGCTGGCTGGTTGGTTTTTTTTCTTTTTTGTAATAACAAATTGACAATGACATGAATGAGGAGAAATATTTAACCTTAATAAACGACGAAGCTTTAGACGTCTTTTGTTTGGTTTTCTTGGGTTCTTGAGCGGTTATTGTGTGCATTGTTGGGTGGTTAAGGCCCGAACTGATTTGTGAGGGGAAGGCCAAGTGCCAATTAAACTTTGGCACAGTCAAAGGAGGGGACATCGACCAGCTGTACACAGATAGAAATATAATTATCAATTTTTCAAAGTTGTTACAAGTTAGAGGGGCCGCACAAAAAGCAACGCATAGATTTAAAGAAAAAAAAAAATATCATGAATTGTAAATATTTTAATAGAATGAAACAATTGTTTGCACAAATTGATACTACAAGTAAAACTATCCAAACACTTTTGTATAAAACTGTAACTATAAAAATGAATTTTAATTTTTATGTTTGTTATAATAATTATGAAGAAGAAATAATTTCTTCCTGTGTAGTTAGCGAGTGGGAAAGAATGCGAATCCATTCACTAATCGCTGAACTCTCTGCATCTATCTTACAGACACAGCATTCAGGCACAGTCTGGCGGAGGCTGAGAACGCGGCCGGAACGATGATGTCCATGACCAGCTCCCCGCCGGCCACGCCCACTGGCGTCCAGACGGACTCCGATGGACTGATCCTGCCCAAGAAGCTCATCAATCCCTGCATGGAGAACATCGATCGCAAGGAGCTGCATCGGGAACTCAAGTTCAATGCCAGAGTGTGAGTAGTGGTGTCCACAAACTAATCTTAATTTCACTCAACTTTTTTTTAGAACTGTATATAATTTGTAAACTTTAACTTTCTTGTTAAATATTATTATTTGAAACTTTCCAGAAAGTTCCAAAAATACTTTTTGCTTAACTTATAAGCAAACTATTATTATCTTAAATATTATTATTATTTATAAAAACTAAAAATTTGCAAATGTATTAAAGTAGTAAAAACGAAGTTAAAACCGAGGAAAACAAAAGCTTTTTAAAGCCATAAAATAACGTTAAAGCAACGGAAAACAAAAGTTTTTTTTATTGAAAACTTTAAGTGTGGGCAATTATCTAAACATAAAGTTAGTAAAGTTTGCAGTTTATATAAGAGTAAAAAAACAGTTCAGTGAATTAATGTCTTTTTCATAAAATCACTTATTAACTATCATTTATTATACATTATTCCAGGGGAAAGAGCGTGCTGAACCAAAAATCGGAACTGCAACGTGCCTACGATAAACAAAAGGAGCGACATGCTGCCGCCGAACAGCATTCACCGGATGCAGAAATTGTTGGCGGAATTCCCGGCCTGAAGGGAGAACTCGGGCGTGTGATCATGGAACGGGCACAGAAGCACGAGGCGGCTGCCCAGAAACAGGATCAGGAGGACGCCGAGGAGCGGCAGTATGTGAATCCCGAGTATCTGAACGTTAGGGCCAAACTGCGCACGGCGCATGCCAACAATTAAGGAGCAGCCCACTCGGATATCCCTCATCGTAATCCTCAGCTTGATTAATGTTTAGTTTTAGTAAACAGACCTAACCAAATTGTGTGTAAGGAAACCATGTGTTTTATGTGTTAACTTTGTGAGCGGTTTTCATTTTGATATTATGCAACTAGTTGGTTATTATAATTAAAGTTTATACCTAGACTAAGCCATTTACTTGTTTAGTTTGTTAGTCCTAGTTACTAATCTAAGTACAGTTTTTTTCTTGCGCTGATTTCGTTGTGTATAAACCACATGTATAAAGTTTTAGTTTCTAAATGGACCCTTTTCTTCCAAAATCAAACAACAAAATTGAATATAATTGTATCTAGTGTAGTTATGTGTATGTATATCTATAAATTAGTGAGACCGAAAATGCTGTAAACAGGGCAATGTGTTAGAAAGTAAGACAGAGAGACAGACAGACAGAACTTGGGCGAAAGATATTTGATCTATATAGAAAAAACTATTTTATGTCAAGCAAAGAAATTTAAACAGATAACAGAACTATATACAACATATATCTATATACAAATTTAGTTTCTGGAATTAATAAATTTTATTGTAGGCAAAAAGTTAAAAAAACCAATTTGTCTTCTATAAACATTATTGTAATTTTCAAGTTAAGCTTTTAAGCTATTTATTCTATTTGTTCTGGGATTGGGGCTGGGGCAGGGACTTGAACTTCACTTTTATTTCGTCTTGCCAGCCTTTTTTCCAACTTGGCCTGTTTTGCGGCGGCCTTTTTCTCTTCCTTCTGCCTCGCCAATATCCTGGACAGTCTCTTCGAAGCTCGAGCCTGTTATATAAATATTAATTTCATATATACATATATATAATATATATTATGTATTACTCACCGCTGACAAACGGGAACGTTCCTTTTCTGCCTCCTTTGCTAACTTATCGCGAACCTCTTGGATTTTCACGTGGAAAATTTGTATCTTTTCTTTGTACAGCCTGAGGTCCTCCTTGCACTTGTTCACCTTGTTAATGGTGGCCTGTAGCATATTTTCGGCTGTTTCCATATCGTCGTCGTACGCCTTCTGCACCGAATTAATGCGAATTTTGTACTGTTCGATCATGGTCACATACTCCAAGTGGCAGCTTCTCCACACAAGCGAATCCTTGCGGGTGAGCTCTTCAATTTTGTCCAACTCATCGGAAATGACCTTTTTGGTAGAAATGGGACCATTGGTAATGTAATAAACAACAAGCAAGGGTAAGATATGGGTTATAATTGGCACCAAAATTTATTTATTTTAATTAAAACTCACGTCTTGTTAAAAACAATAGTGCTTTCTTAAAAAAAATTGTAAAACTAATAAAAATGTATTTATTCTTGCTCGCAGAGTTTAAAAAAAAAAAGCCAAGCAGGACATTCAGTTCTATTAAAATAAAATTCAAAAGTTAAGGATTATATTCGTCCCTTGGAAATCAAGTGAGTTTTTGTTTATAAGACCTAGAAGCTTTATAATACTTGGGTACTTTTGGATGAGAAGGGTTTTTAAAATGCACAAACCTTGCACCTAAGGAAGTCAATATATTGTGCCTGTTCCAAATTATCGTGGGTCCAATTCACTTTATAGCGAGATTCTATGGGGCTCATATCTGTGCAGCAAATAGAAAACATAAACAGTTCAATGGGTATTACTTTAGGTTGGCTTAACTCACAGTCGATTTGGAATCGCTCCTTGTTGAGGGCGTGCTGTTTGGCAACCAATTTAGGATTGTGGAATTTTCCAACCCGATTTTTTTTCGCATCCTCCTCAACTAACGTGTCGTGTTCGCGCATTATTGTCTCGTAGGGCACGGCAATAAGTTTGTCGATGTCCACCTGGGTATCTCTAAGGAATACAATAAGGATTCTTTCTTAAAGACTGTCATGAGGAGCATGAATGAAAGATAATGTAACTTGAGGAGGATGAATGAAATATAATGTAACTTAATTAAATGAGTTAATGGTTTAGGCGAAACCCCAAAGTATGCAGTGCCTAAGTAAATGGAATATATCAATCAAATAATTAACAAATGCAAAAGGCCCAAATACTTAATACATAGTTCCTTAGAGACATTTTCTTAAATATCTGTTTTTTTTTTCTTTATAGAGCGTTTGAAAGAGCCCACTCACTTGAGAAGTTCCATAAAGCCACGCGGAGCACAGAGATCTCTATCGCCGATAACGTCTTCCAGAAGAGCCTGCACCAGACCGATAAGCTCCCCAAGATCCACATAAAACTTGAGGTCATCGAGCGTGGCCTCCGATTTGTTCTTCTCCAGAATGTCCACATAGACGGTGTTCGTTTGCTGTTCGAAGCGCTTTAGATTCTGCTTGTAGGACCAGCCGAAGATGGTGTCATTGGGATTGGTGCCGGCCGGTGGATATTCCCGCATTACGTTAAGGATCTCCTGCAGCTGCAGCAGCTGATAGATGATGCACACGTTCCGGAAGTCCGATATCAGGTTGGCGAACCGCACCTTGAACATCTGGGTGGTCAAGGCGGCCGAGTCGCGTTGCTCGGGAGTGAGAATCGACTTGGTGGCACTGACCGTGGTGGCCCTGGACATCCATACACTGGCACGTGCTGTGTAGTCCGTTCTGTACATTCGCGCGCGAAAGCCCTCGTTCGGATCCTCCTCAATGCCTTCCGCGGAAGAGTCGGACATCCTGACGGCGCGAACTTCCTTTTTGGTCTCCAGGACATATGGCTCCAGGAGCTTTTTCAGGAACGCATCGTGACACATGTCCGCTGGCCTCTGTGGCAGCGGAAACAGGCTATTGATCTTCTCCTTGTACTCAGCCAGCGGGTACTTCTTGTGAACCACTTCCCTGGCCCCAGCAACACCGAAAGGGGCATAAGGTTTATTATGGTGCCTTTTCGCCATTTTTCTGTTTCGATTTTTGGTTGTGTTTCCTACGACAGATTGTGTTGAATGTCAATGTTTTCATGTTGGTTTTCGACATTTTCAATCATTTATTGTGATATCTAAGTCCAGACTTTATAGTTGGTGTCCTGATTCAAAGAACAAATAGGATAATGCAAACTTATTCTGAAAAAGAACATTAATTAACCATTAAAAACAACCCTTTTGTTAAATAAATCTTATGTACGTAAAATATAAATTATAAATCTGCGTGCATCAATATTATCTATCTCTACTTTTTACCAATAAAATATTTTAGATTTTATGTATCTTCAATGGACAAACTAGATCCATATGTCATCTTAAAACATATTTATATGTATCAAGATCATATTTTGCATCATTACATTGCTGGTAATGTTTAAAAATTAACCTAAGAAAGGCTTATTGTTGACATTTTTTTTGCAGCATTAGGGTTAGTTTATTATATGTTTTTAAATGGTTAGAATATAGCAAAAAAGGTTTAAGAAGTATAGAAAAAAAACACATTTGCGGAGTCCAGGTAATTAATTTTTTATCTTCTCAAGCTCGCCCTTGATCTCGAAGCATAAGGATGTCGGTCGCCGCACATTGTTTTTGTCAAATATTTCAAAGGTAAAAACACCTTTATAGCGTCCACTTAAACTTGGACCACTGATCTTTTCAAGACGCACTACCATGACGAAAGGATCCATCACTAGAAGGGTCTGAAATAAAGAGCTTTCCTTAACGACAAGAAGGCAGAAAAATAGTCATAATTCTTACACCTTTCTGTTTTAGGCATTTTTCTTGAATCTCCTCGCGGTTTCGAACATATTTAAACCAATATTTGTACCAGTATTGATCTTTGTCGAACATCACGTCACAAAAGTCCGGCGTGAGCATGTTGAATACTGTCGGTTCCCAGGAACCACGGTTGTACTTCATAACTTCGAACCTGGACTAACGTCAAGAATCGAGTGGAGTTCTTTAGGTTTGATTTCAGCAGGACTGGACTTACGGAAATTCGATCGGTGCTCGGAAAACTCAATACAACGGAGGCATTTCCAGAAACATCAATCCCGTCGCCCTCCATAACCATCGACAGATTGTCCATGTTGATGGCTTCATGGATCCCAATCGCACCAGGTAAGCCGTTGAAGCATGACGAGAAGATTTCCGGCTCCTCGAGCACCAGGTTGTAATCTGTTGCCCAAATTGTGGTTACGCCCACAACGACTAACAACAGAGTTCGAAACATTTTTGTTTCCCAGCAGATCGGTGATCAAACCTTATATAGCTACTGACAATAGTCGGTGCTAATTAGAACTAATTACGGATTAAACATTACACCGTCCGTAATCCAAAATGTCATTGCAAGATCTCTTACACAAAGATGATCTGTGCCTGAATTATTATACAATCAAAATGATTACATACATTTAATAGGCATCCATCGGTTGAAATCGAATCGTTTATTATTCTTATTTAAAGTTAAATAGCATGTCGCGCACACTATAACCTTTAAAAAAAATTCAGTTAATATTATCTGTGTTTAAAAGGACCTAAATAATTTTTGCACTCACCAAAAGCTTACCTAGGTACTGATTTTAGCATATCTTGAGACTAACTAAATTATGCACTTAGATACTAAATTATTTGTTTTGTTTTTTTATTATTTTCCCTCGAAATAACGACAATTAGGCGCCATATGGATACAATACCATATACAAAATAAATATACTCCCAACAGTTGGTACCATTTACAAGCAAAAAATATTCGGTGACATCTGATAGTAATAGTATTAAAAACCAAACGGTTTTTAATTAGTATTTTTTCTGTATTCGGACTAACATTACACCGTTCGTGATCCGAACTTGTAATTCCGAAACCGAAACTCTGTGTGCATCAAGATTAGTCTTATTAGTCTTTACTGTTTTACCAATGTAAAACAATCAAGTTTATGAATTTCCAATATACGAATTTAGTAACAAATGCCATCTTAAAAAGTATTTACATGCATCAAAACCATCTTTAGCACCATTTTTAAATTATATAAATTATAAAATTATACACCATTTGTAATTATATAAATCCTCGCTGTTCCGAATATTTTTCCACCAATATTTGGACCCGTATTGACCTTTGTCAAACATCATTCCCCAATCCCAAAAGTCATCGCCAGATTTCTTGCAAAGATAACACTGTGCAACAAATCGAGGTCGATAAAAAAAATAAATTGGTGAGACTATATAGGCTTAAAAAATCTCGGTGTGCTGAACAAGACCTCATTCTTGGAATTTATCCATTACACTCAGGTATCGAGAAAAATTATCTTAAAGACGACTTTACAAGTTCTTTTATTCTAAATAACGGCCGAACTGAATTGTACTGCCTATACCTATGATATTTCTTCTGTAGTGCAACTATTTGTCTACGGATCCCCATATTCTAAACAGTGGAGAGGTTTTTTAAAAATGTTATATTTGAAAAAGAATGCAAACACTTCAAAAGACCTAAAAGCCCTTTGTTTGGTGGTGCCTAAAAGTAGGCATACAATTTTTGTGAAATGCCTACCAATATTAATGGAACGTTTTACATTATTGACACAATTTGAATTATTTTGATTACTACAATTTGTAATTTAACATGACAGGGTTAAAAAAAAGGTTTGTCAACCCTGTCATGTTAAATTACAATTTAGAGTGATAACAAAATTCCAAGAATGAGGTCGTGTTCAGCACATCAAGTCTTATTATTGTACATATGTATGTAATAGGTAACAGATAATAATATATAATTAATATACTTAATATACTATAGTTTATTATCACACAAGTTTTTTGATAATTTTGTCGTATAATTGATTTCTCTTATTTTAGTAACATTATTGCATAAAAAACTTACATGATAAAATTGGTTAAAACAAGAAGAGAAGCAAACTTTTTTTTCGCGATTGTTCCTATTGGAGCTATATGCAATGGTCCTCCGATCCTGCTCAAATTCAAATTTTGGGAAAGTTTCGTTTAGATAGCTCAAAAACTAAGAGACTAGTTCGCTAAGAAATGGTAGACTGGCATGCTGGGAACGATTATATTTGAACAACATTACTGCCTACAGTTGTCGGCTAGAAACTTAGAAAACAAAACGTGAAACTATTTCCACCCTCAAATACCTATACTGTTAAAGAGCACATTCAGTGCTCTCTTATCGCCCCGTGTGTTTGTTTTTTTTCTTGCGCACGCTCCAACAATTCCCAACCAGTTCTGTCTAGTTGATCACCAATAGGCGCAGGTGGGGCACCGAAAATTTAAGACTATACTTCACAGGATCATTTCTGTAGTCAGTCTTCACATACTTTCACACTAGCTGAAAGCCAAGCGCACCCGCGTTGATGAGTTGAATCGCCCTATTCGGCAGCGTGAGGATTTGTCCAGTGTCCTTTGGGACGCTGGGCTTCGATGATCGCTCGGTAACACGGATAGAGCGAATTCTGAGTGGTGCTCATTTTATTCAAATTTATTTAAAACAAACAAGAAATAAGAAAAACACAATTTGGTAGTCATTTCGCATAGGTCGGTGTTGAAGTATACTTCTTTATATAAAGTGGGCATAAAGAGCTTACGTGAAACAGTAACCACCTTATTAATTTGTTTGGTAGGTGTGTAGTATAGTGACCCAAGGGAAAACCAGAATTGGTAGTTGGTAAAGCTAAGAAATATTTTTCTTGGTATATTAAAAGAAACCAACGTTTTTTTTATGTGCCCCAAAATGTGTGGTTAAATGCTTTTGGTTTGGGAAGTGGCCTATTCCGTTACCCCACTTCCTGGTACCCTGAACGCGTTTCCAACTCTCCAACAGGAAAAACAAAACACTTGCGTTTCTATAATTATCATGAGCTGTAAACAACGGTGACTGTTGAGCCAACAACAACAACGACTAACCAACAGAGACATGTAAATTATGGCCCGTGCTTGACGTCAGTCAATGTTAACATCATTACAAAGCCAACAGAGATGCTGAAGCTACTTCTCCGGAGCAACTAAACTAAGAAGAAACTGAAAGCTTTCTTCAGTCGATAAGTAAAACCAAACTACTAGTTACCCTTTTTTTTTATTATAGTGGAGCTCTACATGGAATTGTGATTGCAAAATTTATTTATTTAATATATAAAGCAATCATAATGTGTATTTCTTTTTTTTTTTTGCAATTCTAAAATAAAAAATTGTTGACCATAAGAAATGAACCAATATCAATCTTATTTCAGTTAAATAAATAAATTATACATTTGAGCTTGCTGATAAACCTAAACACGCTAATAAAAATCATATTATTGTTGATACTTAATATTAATTTTACACGTTACGTTTCACAAAAAAAATGGGGTGATAAAAAACTAGGAGATTATTATTTCATTGTGTCGAGATTGCACTGTTTATGTACAAATGCAAATGCGCACAAACTCCCACAGTTTCCAACTCTCCCTCTCTCTTTCCCTAGCCGCCTTAGTGGAGCTCACTCCCACTCTTTCATACTGGAGCTTACTGAGTCTTCCGCTCCCGCTCTCTCGCTCTGTGACATACGTAGGTACTGCTGTCGTTTTGGGGCTCACCAGCACACTCTCAGACACTGCTTGCATGCTTTGGGGCTACTCTCTCTTTCTCTTTCTCATTTAAGACCTGTTCGTCTGTTGCTTGACGACTCTGGTCGCCTGTTACGATATATCGCGTAGAGGGACCTGCCTCAATGTTGCGCGTCAATTTTAGGGAGCCTACACTATAAAAATTGGTGACGCTGCGCCACTTTTTTTGCGCTGTCCTCTTCCCCTTTCCTTCTTTGTTGCCTAAGTTGGCGTTGGAGTTGGGTCGCCTGCGCGGAGTGCGCGACGCTTTACTTTGCAGCTTTGTCGCTCAACCGTTATTTGTAGTATGGAGATGCTTTTGGATGCTGCTTAAGTGTCTGCAGCTTGCCCTTTAGCCCGCTTAATTTTTGGGCTAAAAGCTTTTTTTACAATTTTAAAATATCGAGAAATCCTTGTGAAATAAGCCAGTCATTTAATTGTTGAAATAATATTTATTGGATTTAATATTGGCCTTGTTTCTTACATATCACACATGTATCGAACGTCCTTATTTTTTAAAATATTATTGGTAAATGTTTTGAAGCATTAAGCCTTGCCTGGCACAAAGAAATACTCAATTATTCAGTTCCTTAATTAATAAAATTTATAAAAAACTTATTTGATAAAAATGTTTATAGTTTCAGTTCATTGGTTGCTACGGAACCCATTTGGGTTTAAAAAACTAAATGGTATGCGACATTATATTTGAAGACCATAAGCCCAACAAATAAATGCACAGCATAGTTTCATACACCCCTTACTTAAAGCGATTTCAAAACACTAATTCTGTGGCACCCTAATAATGCATTATCCACAGAAGGTCCTTATCCAGAGTGTGCGTCAAGAGGGTTAAGCTATTGCTGCAGATCGAGAACGGTGGCCACTTGCGACAGCTCCAGCAGCTTTCAAAGCAGTTACGTTTTCACCGTTACTCCTCCGCCTTTCTCTCTACCTTCTCTTTTTCTCTTCTGGTCTGCTCTGTTGGCGGCTGTTTGCTGCCATCAGTTTCTGGTTGCTTGTTCCCCAAACCGCAGTTCAGCGTTGGCAATGCCGGCGGCAGCAGACGTAACGGTAAACGACAACGCCCCCAACAACAGCAGCGAACGATAACGATAACAACGACGACGACGACGACGGTCGCGTCTGATAGACAGCTGTCTCCAATTGGAATGTTGTCTCCCGGTTACGTCAGTCAAAATGACGCATCGTGTTTTGGTAACAGGAAAGCATAAAAACGAGAAAAGCAGACAATATGGGACGCTCTGCCACTGGAGCGCACAAGAAAATCACCACGAAACAAAAGAACAAAGCAAGTAGAAAATAAAGCGTAGTGTGGGGCGAAAAATAAACAAACACACACGACGCAGCGTCACGACAACAAAAAAATCCACCCTCGCATCGAGCGCTAAAAACTTGGTTGGTTTTTTTTCCGTTTCGTTTTCAATTAGGCAAAGTGCAGTGTCTGGGCCAGTTTGCCACAGGAAAAGGATGAGCAAACACTTTCAGTACAACAAAACGCTGAAACCCAAAAACCACATGTCAAGCAAAATTAATAACAGCTAAAAAAGTGATGACAGCTTAAAAATAGCTAAATTGTTTAATACAACATAATAATGGGTTTCAGTTGTTTTTGGAAGCT